TGCTTAATTACAAGTACATTAATGGATCTAGTACACCATATGGTTTACACCTGCTGTGCCGATTTACAAATCTTCTCTTTTAACTTGATGCACGTAAGAAATGAAAAATTAAAACAAGAATGAATTCAATGAAATTTCTCCTTCTAAATGAATCAAATAAAAACTGTTTAATGAAATTATTAAGAATATGAAATATATCTGCTTACTTTTATTGATTTGTTTAGGATTTAATGGAAATATTTTTCACGCTGCTGAATCTTGGCACTGAAAAATAGGTGATGAGAAGAAAAGCAATGCTGGTACTAGCTTCTGGGTTGTAGGTTGGTTTTATGTTTGTTTGTATGTATGTTTGGTTTGTTTTTTAATTATCTATTATTTTAGTGGACAAATAACTTACCATATTTTCCCCACTAGTATTAGATATTACAATTAGAAGAAATTATGTCAAATAACTAATTCTCAGAAATATTGCATAGGATTATAAGGAGGAGAAATTAGTCTAGGTATCTAGAACTATCTGTAATGCTTTATGGTGTGTAAAACCTAAGTGCCATTACCATTCTGCTGGTATTGCAGAAACAATAAAACATTTTCAAATACAGACAAGCTCCCCAGTTACCTAAAATTCCAATCTGTTTTCTCAAATTCAAAATCAGTTAGCAAGTATACCATATTCTAGCTGAAGGAAATATGCACTGTGAATTTAAAGAACACCGCCAGACTTTGATTTTTTCTTTTGTTTTCTAATTGTATCCAAAACAAATCATTATGGTTTTCTTTATTCTGAGGTTCTTATCATTAGAAGAGTGCTTTCAAATTATTAAACGTAGGCCATGTTTAAATATTTAAACTTAAATATTTAAGTGTACATCTTTATATATAAGGAGTTGATGGGGGGAAGGGTAAAAAAGATTCCTAAATGTCAAAGAAAATATACACAAATTAAAGCTCAGTATTATTCCACTGGTAGGATTGTTCTGGAGAATTGCAAGTTAGTCAATCATAATTCCAATCTATTGAATAAGAAAAATGCAGAAATACTAATAGTACTTTTTATGCTCCCAAAGAACCTCAGGTTAAAATATTAGTTACTCTACTGCAAATTAGAAACACACTAAGAACTGAAAATAAAGCTGGGCCTAATATTTTAGTTTGCTCACAGTAATCCTGCCCAAGCAAAGCTGAAGTTTTTTTTTGTCAGCATCTCTGTTGATGTAAAACAAGCTGTTCTATGTACAGCAAAGCTAATAATGCCTGATTCCTGACAATTTGGTGTCCTGCCTCTTGTCAGTTCTCCACATTGTAATACAGTGGATATGATACAGTATAACATCATCTTTTCTGCAGTACCTCTAGACCTCTGAAGCAAGAACTATTGTAGGTTCATGGTGTTACTGACTGCTCAGTAACAGAAATGGTTACTGCTGAATTTGGCACTTGGCAGCTCTTCTTTGCCCTTTGGAATTTCATATTTGAGTCTGCATCAGACTATCAAATTCCAGTGGGTCTTGAGTTTTTAGAAGACTACAGACAGCGAGATAGTTCTATAAACCTGTGTCTTTGGTTAATCAAGCTTAAAGTGCTATAACTTCATCAAATTTTCATCAGATTTTAACCACTGAAATTCCTGCCCACCAATTGTAGCTACTATTTAGTAAGGAAGGGCCACCTGAGCCAAATCTTACCCATAAGTGTCAGACTACCAGCTTGTCTGATACCTAGGAATGAAATATGGATCTCCAAATATTTGATGAAGACTATAGGTATTCTTTGTATTAGATTTTCACCCTCTGTTGATTACAAGATTTGGAGACCTAATTCAAACTGCTGAGTTCTGAGTAGTTCAGTATGTGTTATGTGGTTGCATTTATGAGCCTATTATTCCTCTGATTTGGCCATATCAAAATAAACCTCTTGTGGAGAGAAACTCTGGGTTGCAGAAAGTTCCCACCATGGACTGTCTTGACAGTGAGCCTCCAGCTTTAAGTTCTCTCTCCATTGAAATGTACCATTTGTTTACCTAAGTTCAAGGATGTGGTTCTGAAGTGTCCCTAATTGGAGTGACTTTGCAACTGCTTTCATATGGCTTTCAATTAGGTGTTAACCTAGAATGAGGAATTTATGAAAACAATTATTTAATTTGTAAAAATAGACAACCTGACCTTGAAAAGTCTAAAAAATGTAAATTAGCCTTGGTTTTCAAAACTATCATGTTAATAATCCTAAAAAAATTGACACTTTAGCACAGATTACATAGTTTTTAGAATGTATACTGAATGGGTGAGAGTCCAGTGAAGGCACATACATTCCTATTTTACATTTTGCCACTCACTGATAGCAAAAATATCAGTGTTTCATGTTGCACAACCTTGCATTTTAGGATATTACTTCCTAAAATGTCTCCTTTGTATAATTTCTCTTCTATTATCTAAATATAGCACTCAAAAAAATTTTGATGGCCTTGAGGGTGATTCATTTGAACTTAGTGACCTCCTGTTTCATGCTAAAATATCTCCCAGAGGGCCATTTCTCTCCACTAACTGCAAAGAGAACTCTGATGACCTGCTCAGATTTAGATGTTGATATTGGCAAGGTGGGAATTGGCTTCTTCTCCTGTGTAACTAGTGATGGAACGAGAAGGAATGGCCCCAACTTGTGTCAGAAGATATTCAGGTTGAAAGTTACGAAAAATTTCTCCTCTGAAAGAGCGGTCAGGCACTGGAACAGGTTGCCCAGGTTGGCAGAGGAGTCACCATCCCTGGGGGTGTCCAAGAAAAGGGCAGATATTGTTCTGAGGGATGTGGTTTTGTGGGAAATATTGGTGGTGTCTGGACAGTTGGATTGGGTGATCTTAGAGGTATTTTCTAACCTTAGTGATTTATCCACTAGATTAATCCTACATCTCATAACCTGTACATCTTTAAAAAAATTAGTTTGTTACCCCACTGTCTGTAACTTTCAGGATGGAAATTTTGAAAGTCTTGGCTGATTTTACAACAGTGATGGGAGAAAATCCCCTGCTAATTAGGACATGATTACTTTTGAGACTGGGTGACCTATGCATTCTTCTGTACAGAACTGATTTTATTTATTCTTTTTATCGTTCAAAGTTAGAACAATGGCTAACCCATGTGAAAATCAATTCACTGAGCATCTTAGAGGATGAAAACATTGTAAAATTCATTGTTTGTATGTTGAATTGGTTCTCCACTTCCACTTCTAGAGAAGAAAACATGTCTGATCATGGCATTATTTAGATACACAGTGAATATTTAACTGGCTGGGTACTTCATTGCTCTGTAAATTGAACCACTATTTCTGTCAGTGATTACATAAACAAAATAGAATGCTGTCTGTTCAGAATGTGTGCTCCCACAGGTACAAATGCCTATACCAATAGATACAGAGACTCTGCGAATTCCATTGTCATCTGTCAGTTGTGGACAAACAATGGATTTGACTCCAAATCTTCTGGAAAACAGTCTGCAAGGATACTGGCACTGTGCATACCTCATTTTGTTGAACCTTGCAGTCACCAGCAATCTAAGTTCTATTTCTTGTGAATTGCCACATTTCATTATCATAGCAGAGCTCATGAAGTTATCTCACTGCTTTCCCAATAACAGGTGGGATATTTGAGGGATATGGAAATTACAACGATGATAAAAGAGATTTAATGAAGTGTAGACACCTGAATCATTGAAACATTTAGACATCAACTTTAGATTAAATGCATCCCACCTTGATCCAGTTTTGCCTATAGACCTTAAATGGGAATAAGACAGTAGTGAAACTCACATTGTTCTCAAATAATATTTCTTCAGAAAATTCACAAACATGTTTTCAGTGTGGTTAGTGCATAGAGAGGTAGAGTTTATACTCTTCTGCCCATTTTTTCCAACCTTTCTTTATATTTCTCTTCATCTCAGCATGAAAAAGCATTTGGGGCATCAGAGATGCTTTAACTCTTGCCTAAACATTAATCTTTTTTCTTCACTGCAAAATATTCAGTAGAGTCCCCTCAGTTCATTTCCTAAAAGTGCATTTATGTAATGGCTGAGTAATAAAAGTCAGCAGAATGACTAGATGGTATTTCATCCTTTTGCATTATCATTGAAAAAGACATTACTATTCCACTATCAAAAATATCCATCAACCAAATTACATCCCTTTTCTTCACAAAGTTTTAAAATAGGATACCTAAGTATGATAGACAATATAGAGTTATTATTTAATGACCATAAGGGAGTTACATTTTGATTCATTTTCTTATGTGTTAAAAATTTATGACAAACATAAAACCTTGATATAACAGCCATATCATTTGTAATGGTCATAATTTTATTTAAATCATATATAGATAAAACATTATGTACATTTTAAAGCATGCCATCCTGAAACACTTAGAGAAGTAGATGGGGAGATTCAAAATGGTAAGTATAACCTAAGCTAGAAAGAAAAAAAATCCCTTGGAATCTTGATATCTAAAACAATTATATTTTTGCAAAATTTTAATAAATTTTAATTTAATTTTCTTTCCTCTTAATTTTCTTAAAAGGTCTACTTTCTCCCTGTCTAGTATAGAGATTTAAATGCTGATTTTGTCATTTCCTTGCAATATTATTTTGTTGTGTTTGTATATTTCTCCACTAGTTCTGCTTGCCTGACCATGAAATACTATAGGCAGAAAAAAAAAAAAAAAAAAAAAAAAAAAAAGACATTAAATAATAATAAAAAAAGAAATAACAGCAAGAATAGTTCAAAAAATGGGAAAATGGGAGCAGATTTTCATAGAGCACAAATCATCTGAGAGCAAAAGATCTCAGTTACTCCAGATGAGAGGGAAAGATTTACATGAAACTAGAATTGCAACACTCTTCTCTCTTAGTGGGTATTTTTTTAAAAATTTTAAACTAAACCCTTATGGTTTCTGTTCCTCTGGAAAAGGATGTGAATAAATCCTCCTTTGTTGCAAAAAGTTGGTCCAGAATAGCAAAAACCAAAGTCGGGGGGAAAAAAAAAAAAAAAAAAAAAAAAAAAAAAAAAAAAAAAAAAAAAAGCAGAAATAATTCTAAAATATAAATGGCATTTATCCTGGAATTCTCCTATAAATGGTGGTGGTAGATTTACGTCTCTCTCCAAATTCTGGTTTAATAGCTTAGTTCTGGTTAAATTGTTGTCTACTCTTTTGCCAGATAATTGTGGTTCCAATTATTTTCTATATATAGTTTTTATTTTAAATGAAAAGCACCTCCTCACGAAGTACCTCTAATATAAAGATGTACAGCAGGAGATGGGCTTATTCAGTCTCTAGAAGAGAAGGCTGTGGAGAGACCTCATTACCAACTTCCAGTATTTAAAGGGAGATTATAAACAGGATGGAAAACAACTTTTTACATAGTTAGGAAGTGATGAGACAAGGGGAAATGGTTTTTAAACTAGAAAAGGGGATTTAGGTTAGATGTCAGGGGGAAGTTTTTCACTGAAGAAGTGGTGAGGTGCTGGAACAGGCTGCCCAGAGAAGTTGTGGATCCCTGGAGGTGTTCAAGGCCAGGTTGGATAGGGTCCTCAACAGTATGTTCTAGTATTTTAGCATTTAATCTAGCTGTTGGCAATCCTGCCTGCAGAAGGGAGTTGGAATTTGGTCCCTGAAGTACCTTCCAACCCAAGCCGCTCTGTAATGCTTTGTAATTCTATGACTCTATGAAAGCAGGGAATGTGGAGTGGTTTACAGATTTTCCTCTTAAACGTACTTGAGTTTACACTTTAAAATAACCAGTTGACGTCAAGTGGAAATAAGCATGTATGGGGAAATAATATCCGATAAGCATTTTTCAAGTTTTATGGAACTATTTTGCTCGAAAAAATTGATTCTTCTTTTTTTTTTATCAAATTAGGCAGTGGCCATTTTTGGCTAAAAATGTCCTCTTTTCTGACTTAGATAAATGGCTGTCTTCCCTGATAGTTAGTTTTGGTCAATTCTGTAGTGTCATGGAAACTGTCGTGATGAGTATTTGAAAAGTCTTCCTTAGTATCTATATCACATTTTTTAAAATCTTACTTTAAATAAAGAAACAGCAAATTTACTTCAAATTTATTAGAGGAATAGTAAGCTTTACAACAAATCCTTAAAAAGCTCTTTCTCTTCTGTTAGAACTAGAGTACAGATGATTTATGATTTACATTATAAAAGTAAATTATCGCAACTAAAGTCTATTCACAATACTTTTCATTTTTAGAATAAAACAAAAGCATGCTTTTCACTTGCTTCATTCTCCTGTTATATAACATTTGGCAGGTGAAGGATTTCTTTATCTTTAGGGGTTATCCCAAAATGAATGTTTGGGATAAAATTTGTTCTTTATTTTTCTATTATCCTATCATAAGGTTCCTTAAAAATACTAAATCTCTAATAGCGAGATTTTTTTCCTTAAGACAGATGATAGGATTACATGTTTGTGACACATGAAAAGTTTTTGCATTATCAATAAAATTTATTTTGGTGACATTTTAGATTTATATATATATATATTTCAGCATTAATTACATGTAATTATCTTTAATATCTATGACAAGCGTGAGTTTGTTTAACAATAACAAGAAGTAATGATCGGGAAATTACTTGCATTTCCAATACTTATCTGCAGTATATATGAGTAAAACATATATATTACTTGTTTTATTGCCATCAATATTAATTACAGCAATAAAACAGACTTGGTTATTGCTGTCCTGAAATAGCTAAATTGGCTAATATGATGGCACAATAAATTCAGACTATAATTGGCTTGATTCTCTTTTCTCTGACATCTGTGTAAATTAGGAGTTCCCTAAGCATAACACTCATGTAAATGAGATAAGATTCAGATCTTTGCTTTATAGCTGTGGAGACCTGTTTGTAACAGTTAGGTAATTTTACTTAGTCAGTCTGCACTCTTGTACTACATTAGCTGGCATTTATATTCCATACATATATACATATATAGCCACCTGCATCTCCAGGCTGGTATGCCTCTGTAATATACAACTTACTAATTAATATTCTTGCAACAGTGATATTTTCCAGCAAATCAAAAGAAAGAACTTCAGGTTGAATAAATATAATCATAAGAAAAGTGAACTTATAGCTTGCAGATATGAATTATCATAAAAAATAAACTGAACTCATAATTAAGATGTGTTTGGTTGTTTTGGTTTTTTTTTTTAAAAAAAATCTTTAGTTGCCCCTGCTGTCTCCTTTATTTTCTCTACATGATTTCTTTCCTACAAGTTCTCAGTCTTGATTAGAGAACAGACTGGACAGTCAGCTATTAATGAACCACCAGGCAACGACTTTGTTTTTCATTTTGTTCAATGTTCTCAATCTTTATTTACTGTACAATATTCAGACTTTGCTCTGCAGACAGAATGATTGATTTCCTCCTCGCATTTCTACACAGCTTGGCTTTTATAACATCCATTGGCTTCACAAAGGTTATTGAATTTTTATGCATAACACTTCTGTTAGACAAAGAGATTATTCCCATTTTAAAGAAAGGGAGGTGGTGTTTGACCTGGGTTTACTCCTCTTACTTTAGTTGCATAACTCTGGTATCCACCCAACAACCTACTAACTTCAGATTTGACCAAAAATCAGTGGAAAGAAGCGGAATCTTTACAGAAAAACACAGGCTTCACGTAGGTTCATCTCTGTATCATCTACCAATAAAGCATAAGGAAACTATGATTCTAAGTCTAATAAGTACTTAAAAAATTATCTGGGGTAGATGCAGCCTCCCATTTACCAGTGAGTTTTGCAAAGTTTAATTTTTCATTGGAATCACAGAATTATAGAACTGTAGAAGCTGGAATGGACCTCTAGAGATCATCTAGACCAACACCCCTGTCAAAACATGATCTTTGACCAGCAAGCAAGCCCATAAACAAGAGCATCTGTTTCTGTTTGGTTTTTTTTGTTTGTTTGTTTTTGTGGGTTTTTTTTTGTTTTTTGTGTGTGTGGTTCTGACCACCAATACCTGCAATTTCTTTGATGCCTGCAGAGCAGATGATACCCAGATCATGTCATTGTTTGAGTTGGAAGGGACACTTAGAGATCATCCAGTTGAACTCTTATAATGAACAGGAGCACCTACAGCTCAATCAGACTGCTCAGAGACCCATCCGGCCTGACATTGAGTGTCTCCAGAGATGGAGCATCCACCACCTCTCTGGGAAATCTGTGCCAGTGTCTCACTACCCTTGTTGTAAAAACTTTCCTGATATCCAGTCTAAATCTCCCTCGTTTTACTTTGGAACCATTTTCCTTGACCTGTTAGAACAGACCCTATTAAAGAGCCTGTCCCCTTCTTTCTTGTAGACTCTCTTTAGATCCTGAAAGGCCACTATCAGGTCTCCCTGGAGCCTTTTCTTCTCCAAGCTGAACAACCCCAGTTCTCTCAGTCTGTCCTTGTAGGGGAGGTGAAACACCCACAAAGTGTGAAACACATATAATGGCCAACAGTGGGAATTTTGCTTGAAGCTTCTTGCTAAAATAAAGACAATGTCCTGCAGAAGCAATTCTAGACCTCAGACTTCTGTGGATAGAATACCTCTGTGTTCTTTCTAATTCATTATACATACTAAAATTTCCGTTAAAAAAAAAAATAAAAAAAAAACAACACCAACCTGGATCCTAACATCTCATTAAACTTAACAATCTCACCACTTATCCCCCAGGCCTGGCCCATTTCTGGATCTTGGTGGTTAAGAAATTTAAACGGAGAATTCAGCTCTTAGCAAACAGTTGCTGAAATACTTCGGCGCTCTGCAGTTTTTCACCACTTGACGCCCCTTGTCAAAACATTAAGGGGGATGTAGAGGAGCAGCATGTCATTATGTAACATTTTTACACATCATATTCATAAAGAGTCAAACACATTTTATTCTTGATCTAGAACTCCGCTAATTAGATGCTGCTGACAGTTTGACTGCAGGCTTTGAGTCTGAATACTGTCATGCTGTTCCCGGCTGGCATTTATAGTTGGCTGGTCCATAGAAGCATGGGCCATTCTGCTCAGGTTTTCAAGGCGAGCCAGAAGTGTTGAAACTTTTCACCACTTGTTCATCATCTCTCGCTTGTTAATTAATGTCTGCAGTGTTTTGAACATGTGCTGTCAGAATCTGTCTTTTATTTCCTTTGCAAAAAAATAAAAATGCCTAGAAAATGCTATCAATGCTATCATATCTACAATCAGCTCAACTATCCTAGCCAGGAAAAGAAAAATCCAAGACAAATTGCCTGGGACTAGAATATTTTCTAAAGCATATAGACTACAGTATTATCATAGCAATATAGTTTATTGCTATTGTGATTATAGAATAAATATATATTTGTAGCTTAGTTGGTTTAAATTCAGCAAAACTAGGAAAATGCAGAGCTCAGCAGCCAATTAAAAATCCTTTCCAAAGCATGGAAAGATAATAGACAATGTGAACTAAATTACACCCTGGGCATGTCTTAACTTTTATTCTTGGAAATTACATCTGGAAGATCTCTCAAGACATCCCATAGGCAGCTGAAATTTGTGCTTCTATGAATTTGTGCCTCTGCTATGAACATACTACTAAAAAGACCATGTACTGACCACTGTCTTGGAATACATACCAGTCAACTGAACACGGCAGGCACTTTGACGGTAGCCAGGTCATCATACTTGTTAATAAAGGAGCTTCTTAGAATTTCATACAACAAAACCTTAATCTTTGTAGATTGCTGGTTTTATTTACAGTATCCTTGACATGTCTACATAACAAAGGGATTAAGTTCTCTTTAAGGAAAGTAAATAAAGATTTAACTATGTATAGCCCCTGTTCATTGCATATACTTTTCAGGACTGTCTGCTCCTACATTTACTGCGACTTGTTTTCTATTCAAATTTTCGTGCCAAAATTTAAGCACAGCTATGTAGGGAAATGGATGTCTCTTAATGAAAACACCACTGCAACACAGACTAAAGAGAGAGAAAAAAAGCAGGGAATGATGAGAACTGGAAGAATGTCTCTATATAATGCTTTCTCTAAATTA